AGACAGATTAAGTGTTTTGTTCAATGCTATACAGCTAATTAGGATCTAAATGGGATTCCAGGATTACTATGTTTCATTCTATGCTCTTTATAATAGCACATAGTCCGGCAAGCAGTATTAAAGAGGTCTGGAAGCAGCTATCAAGGATTCCAAGACCTGGGAGAATTGATGTGTTGGAATAGGATACAAATCCTGGGACTTGGGTAAAAGAGAAGGTTATGCTACCTTATATAAGATTCAATTTTAGAAAATCAGAGCTAGAGATTTTTCTTAAGGGCTTGATGAAGTAAGCAGCCATTTTGGAGAAGTCCACATGGCAAACTATAGGCAGCTTCTAGAAACTGTAGGCAACCTCTAGCAACTGAGGGTGGCCTCCATCTGACAGCCAGCAAAAAGCTGGGGCTCTCAATTATACACTGCAAGCATATGAATTCTGTCCAGTCTGAAGGAGCTTGGAAAAGAATTTTTTCCCCACTTCAGCCTCCAGATGAGAAAGTGTCCTAGCCAATACCTTGAGTACAGCCTGAGCAGATCACCCAGCTAAGCTGTGCCCAGGCTTTGATCCACAGAGACTGTGAGATAAGAAGTTTGTATTGTTTTAAACCTCTAAGTTTTTAATAAGTTGTAACACAGTAATAGAAAACTAATGCATGTGGTCATGTCCAAGTGTATTGTGTTGTTCAGCATAGTACCATTGTATAGTAAACACAATGCTTTCTCATCTAATTTGAGAACAAATAACCTACACTCCACTGTGCCTTAAAAGCATGACCGTGAAAGTCCACTTTCTCTATTGGTTTTGATATCCATATGCATTGGTAATAAAAAATAAGTATAGTATAGCAGTAGGTAATGTGTGTGGCACTACTGTCAAGTTATAACTATGCCACTGCAATTTATGATTCTCTGAGCAGCAGTGTGAAATGATAAGTATACCACTTATGGTCTCTGTCGCAACTATTCAACTCTGCTCTTGTAGCACAAAAGCATCCATAACAACATGTAAACAAATTAGCATGGATTCCTATACAATTTTATATATGAAGACTAAACTTGGATTTCTTATTGTTGCATGTTTGTTATAAAATGTTATTCTTCTAATAATTCCTGATCCCCAACTATATGGAAATGTAAAGACTATTCTTAGGTCCAAGTTTGTATAAAAATAGGCAAATAGCTTGCAGGCTGTAGTGTCATGACTCTTGATATAGACACACATGTAGGCATTTCTAATACTGCCTGATAGGTGCTATGATAGGGAAAAATACTGTAACATACTAAGACTTTTACTACAAAATATTTTAATTAAAATTCTAATTTGTTAAAAGTATTTTTAAAAAATAAAAAAATACGTTATTACAAGTTTATGAACAGTGACCTGAATATACTAAACTAGATGGAATAAAACAGGAAATGGCTTAGTTTCTCCCTAAGCACTATTGTCATCTATATATTTTGATTATTTTCACTTCCCAACTCATGAATGATATCCTCGTCCATTTTCACTGATTTCTTGTCATGTATCTTTATAAGAATCGTTTTGTTTTCTCAGTGGATTGCTTTACAGATATCGAAATGACCTGTTCAATTTTTGATGTTCAATTTTAAGCTAACTCATTACTTCTTTCTGCCTCTCTCTCTCTCCTAGTCTCCGACTTGGCGCTTGACTCTGGATCCTCTGTTGAGGAAGGGAATTAGGTGTTGTTTCTTCATTCATCTTTCTTCCATTCTCCCATTCATTAGCTACACCTTGCTCCTCTAGGGTTCATGTGAAGGAATAGGAAAGGGAAAAGGCAAAAGTCCTTTATATGCTTTTAAATGCTTCTATTGTGGAACAGTTCTGGTTGTCCAGAGGTTTCATATGGACCTCTTATGTAAAATGAACCAACCCACCCACACATATTTCTGTACATAAGTACTTATATACATGCACAAGCATTAAAAGCTTTGGAGCATACACACTGAATGAAAAGTTATGATTCTTTCTGAGAAGGGCAAGTGGGATGGAGGACAAGGGATGTGGATATCCCAAGGAATATTTTTACTTCATTGTATTATTGGAATTCTTATTAGATATAGCATGAGTTTTTTTGATATTTGATTAATTAAACATAAATGAAAAGCTATGTATTGAAAATAACATGAAAATTTGCTAAAAGAAAATTACTTCTATATCGAAAAAGTACAGAAGAGCCTTTTTTTTTTTTTTTAAGCTTCTTACAGCTAGATAGGAGGAATTAGTTATAGTTTTCTGTACCACTGTAGGATGACTATAGTTAACAGTAATACATAGTTTCAAACAGCTAGAAGGAGTATGTTGAATGTTCTTGACACAAAGAAATCATGTGTTTGAGATGATGCCTATGCTAATTATAATTACTCTGTGATCACTATATAATATGTGTATTGAAACATCACATGTACCCCATAAATATGTGCAATTATATGTCAAATAACTAAAACTTCTAAAATAAAATATTAAGTTCATTAACTTAAAGTGGCATTAAAAAGAGAAATAATCATATTTGTGGGCAAAGGACATGAATAGGCATTTTTCAAAAGAAGACACACACATGGCCAACAGGCATATGAAAAAATATTCAGCATCACAAATCATCAGGGAAATGCAAATTCAAACCACAGTGAGATATCTTCATTCATAATGATTCTTACTGAAAAGAAAAAAAAAAATCACAGATGTTGGTGAGGATGCAGAGAAAAGGGGACTCCTATACGCTGTTGGTGGGAATGTAAATTAGTACAACCTATGTGGAAAACAGTCTGGAGACTTTTCAAATAACTAAAAATAGAACTGCCACTGGATCCAGCAATCTCACTACTGGGTATCTACCCAAAGGAAGAGAAATCAATATGTCAGAAAGATACTTGCACTCCTACGTTTATGGCAACACTGTTCACAATAGCAAAGAGACAGAATCAACGTAAGTGCCCATCAAAGGATGAATGTGTAAATAGTGGTATGTATATATAATAGAATACTCTTAAGCAATAAAAAAGAACAAATCGTGTCTTTTGCAGCAACAGGAGGTTATTATCTTAAGCTAGGAACAGAAAGTCAGATATCACATGTTCTCACTTGTGAGTACTAAAAATGTTTATACATGGACTTAGAGAGTGGAATGATAGAGAGTGGAGACTTGGAAGGGTGGGGTGGTGGTGGGAGGGAGTAGGTGATGAGAAACTGATTAGTGGGAGCAATGTACATGTTTTGGGTGATGGTAAAAGCCCTCAGGTTGACCATATGCAAGCTATGCTTGCAATAAAATTGTACATTTACCCCATAGATTTGTACAAAAACGAAAGTAGCATTTTAAGGTAAATTTTATAGTAGTGGTATACTGGGGAAAACATACATCTTTAAATGAAATACACAGTTTTGTGTGTGTGTGGAGGGGAGGAAATTGTTTTTAAAAATCATATTTTGAGGTACAGTTTACATATAATGCATATATTTTAAGTACAGTTTGATGAGTTTTGACAAATGTATATATCCATATAATTTCCTCCCAATTAAGATATAGAACATTTCTTTCCTTCAGAAAGTTTCTCATGACCCTTTACTGTCAAATTTCCCACTACCCTACTTAACTGCTGACAGGATTTCTATCACCACAGCTTAGTTTTGCTGATTCTAGAGCTAAATATAACTAGAATCATGTAGTAGGTAATTGTTTATGCCTGACTTCGTTTACTCAGTTTAATGTCTGAGAAATTCACCATATTGTTGCATGTATCAGCATTTCGTTCCTTTTTAATGCTAAGTAGTCATCTATTATATGACTATACTAATGTGTTTATTCTTCTGTTAATGCAGATTTGGATCGTTTCCAATTTTTTGTCTATTATAAATGAGGCTGCTTTAAACATTAGTGTACAAGTCTTTTTGTAAACATGCATTTTATTTCCTTGGGTCAACATCTAAGGGTGGCATTGCTAAGTCATAGGTGTGTATATTATAAGAAACCATCAACCTTTTTTCCAAAGTCATACAAGTTTTACTTCCACCAGCACTTTTTTGAGAGTTCTAGTTCTTCATTCTTACCAATACTTGGTATTGTCAGTCTTTTAAATGTTAGCTATTTTAATGGCTGTGAAATGATATTTCATTATGGCTTTAATTTATATTTGCATGACAAGTAATGATATTGAGCACAGCTTCATATGCTTTGTATATATGCAATTTGTGTACTGTATATTCTTTGTGAAAAGAGTCTGTTTAAATCTTTTCTGTATTTAAAAAAATGGAGTTGTTCAGTGAGAACACGTGGTCACAAGGAGGGGAACATCATATATTGGGGCCTGTTAGGGGGGTGGGAGGCCAAGAAAGGGATAGCTTTAGGGAGAATACCTAATGTAGATGACGGGTTGATGGGTGCAGCCAACCACCATGGCACGTGTATACCTGTGTAACAAACCTGCACGTTCTGCACGTGTATCCCAATTTGTGTCCTTTGTAGGGACATGGATGAATCTGGAAACCATCATTGTCAGCAAACTGACAGAAGAACAGAAAATCAAACACCACATGTTCTCACTCATAGGTGGGTGTTGAACAATGAAAGCACATAGACACAGGGAAGGGAGCATTACACACTGGGTCTGTTGTGGGTGGCTAGGGGAGGGACAGTGGGGGGTGAGGAGGTTGGGGAGCGATAACTTGGGGAGAAATGCCAGATATAGGTGACCAGGAGATGGAGGCAGCAAACCAGCTTGCCATGTGTGTACCTATGCGACAATCCTGCATGATCTGCACATGTACCCCAGCACCTAAAGAACGATAAAAAAAAAAGGAGTTGTTTTTCTTACTGTTCAGTTGCAACATATTTATACACACTCATATAAAATAATTTAGCCCATACTGAAGTATTTGTATTTTTTTTTAAAGCTATCGCTTGATGGGAAATGATTATTTTTGATGACTTTATTAAGATTTTTTAATGATTTGTGATTTTAGCATCTTCTAAGACATTTTCACTTACCTTAAGATAGCAAAGATACTCCTCATTTTGGTTCTGGTATTTGTATTTAGCTCTATGATCCATTTCAAATTATCATTTTAAAAAAATACATGTTCACAGAGATAGGGTTTTGCTTTGTTTTTCAGGTTGGCCTGGCCTCAAGCAATCTTCCAGCCTTGGCCTTCCAAAGTGCTGTAGTTATAGGCATGAGCTTGGTCATGGGTTGAATTTTGTCAAATGTAATCTCTTGTCTGTTGAGATGATCCCATTGGGCTGTAATGCCAGCACTTTGAAGGCTGAAGTGGGCATATTGCTTGACCTTAGGGGTTTGAGACCAGCCTGGGCAACATGGCAAAACCTTGTCTGTACAAAACCCGAAAACATTAGCTGAGCGTGGTGGTGTGTGCCTGTGGTCTCAGCTACTTGGAGGCTGGGGTGTGAATATTACCAGAGCCTGAGGAAGTCGAGGCTGCAGTGAGCTGTGATTGTGCCACTGCACTCCAGCCTGGGCAACAGAGCAGCAAAAAAAAAAAAAAAAAAAAAAAAGATTATCCCTGTGGGTTTTCTATTTTCTGTTAGTTTGGTGAATTGATTTAAAATGTTAAGTCAGTCCTACACTTCTAGTATTAAACCTTTTTTGATTATTACTTGTTAAACTTTCTACATATTTGCTTATGTTGTACATAGAATTTTTGTATCTATGCTCATGAGAAATGCAGGTTTAATTTTCTTTGCATAAATTGTTTTTGTCAGGCTTTTGTGTTAGGATTGTGCTGATCTCACAAAGTAGAATGATTATTCCTATGTCCTGAAAGAGCTTTAGATTAGTATTACTTTTTCCTAACATTTGATAAAATTCACTAGTGAAATCATCTTTATGGGAACATTTTTTAATAGATTAAATTTTAGCAATAGATGTGGAACTTTTGATATTTTGTTTCACTTTGTATCCCTATGTTACATTTTTCAAGGAATTTGTCCATTTCATCTGTATTAAATTTATTGGCCTAAAGTTAGAGTCCTTTGTCCTTTAGTATTGATAGGATCATTTCGATATCTCTTCTTTCATTCTTCTTCTTGGTAATTTGTATATTCTCTTTTGTTCTTGATCATTTTTGCTAGGGGTTACAAAGTTTGTTGACCTTTATCAAAAATCAGCTTTTTGTCTGTTTTCTCTATTGTGGTCTATTTTCTGTCTTATTGATTTTCTTCTCTGGATAATTTCTTTGGAAATTATTGACACTTCTGCTTTATCCAGTTTGCCATTGAATGTATCTAGTGAAGGTTTTCATTTCAGTTATGACAGTTTTTATTCAAGGGTCTCTTTTTTCTCTTCGCTCTGGTATTTATCCATTTATTAGCTGAGAATTCCTATTTTTGCTCATTAAGACTATATTTTCCTATATGTTTATAACTATTAGTAATAACTATTGAAGTACTTCCCCAACTCTTGTCTGATTTGCTCTTTTCTCTAGCTGTTTTAAGGAGAAAACCCAGATCACCTATTAAAAACTTCTTTTCTAATATAGGCCTTTAAAGCTTCTGATTTCCTGCTAAGCATTAGAATTGCAAATTAGATTTTTTTTCTAATTTCTCTTGTGATTTTTTTTCAACTCATGAATTATTTAAATGTGTGTTTAATTTTCAAATTTGGGGACTCTTCTAGATGCTATATAGCTATTGATTTCTAATTTAATTTGTTTTTACTTTTTATTTTTTTGACACAGAGTCTTGCTCTGTCTCCCAGACTGGAGTGCAATGATGCGATCTTTGCTGACTGCAAGCTCTGCATCCAGGTTCAAGTGATTTTCCTGCCTTAGCCTCCCTAGCAGCTGGGACTACAGGCATGGCTAATTTTTGTATTTTTAATAGAGATAGGGTTTAACCATGTTTGCCAGGCTGATCTTGAACTCCTGACCCCAAGCTGGGTAGCCAGCTTGGCCTCCTAAAATGCTGAGATTACAGGCATGAGCCACCATGCCTAGCAATTTCTAATTTAATTCTATTTTGACCAGATATACTTTGTAATATTTTAGTTACTTGAGATTTAAATTATAGCACACATAAGATCTTTCTTGGTGAGCATTGAAAGGAATTTTATTTTGCAGTATTTTATAAATGTCAGTTAGTTCAAGGTAGTTGATGGTATTATCTAGATCTGCCATATACCTACTGATATTTTTTCTTATACCTTATTGATTACTGAAAGCATGTGATTAAAATATTTTTAATAAGGATTGCCTTTTTTCTTTTTAGTTTTGTTATTGCCTCAGTTTGCTTATACATATTTATTGTTTTTATGTCTTTCTATTGAATTCATATTTTTATCATTATAAAAATTATAAATTTTTATAATTTATTATATAGATTATAAATAAATTATAATTTATTATAATCCGTAAATTTGGAGATAATCCTTCGTTTTGATGTCGAGTTTGTATGATAATATAGCCTCACAAGCTTCTTATATGTGCTCTTTACACAGTATATCTTCTTCTATTATTTAACTTTCAATCTATCTGTATATTTGTATTTGTTTATTTATTTATTTTGAGACAGGGTCTCACTCTGCCACCCAGGCTGGAGTGTAGTGGCACAATCTTGGCTCACTGCAACCTCCACCTCCCAGGTTCAAGCGATTCTCCCACCTCAGCCTCCGGAGTAGCTGGGACCACAGGTGTGCACCACCACTCCCGGCTCATTATTTTTGTATTTTTAGTAGAGATGAGCTCTCACCATGTTGCCCAGGCTGGCCTTGAACTCCTCAGCTCAAGTGATTCACCTACCTCAGCCACCCAAAGGGCTTGGATTACAGGTGTGAGCCACTGCTGTATCTTTGTATTTAAAATAGTTTCTTGTAAACAGTTTGTAGTTGAGTCTTGTTTTTTTATATAGTCTGACAGTTTTTGCCTGTTTGGGGGAAAATCTGGTCTATTTCATTTTATATGCGTTTTAAAGTCCACTGTGTTGCTATTTGTTTTCTTTTGTCTTGTATGTTCTTTTTCTGTTGTTATAACCAAGTAATGTTTAATCTTCCATTTTATTTCTTGTCCTGGTTTTTTTTAGCTATTCCTATTGTAACTCATTTTTTATTGTTTGAGCTAGGTATTAAAATGTGCATTTTAACTTATCATTGGCTACCTAGAATTAATGTAGAACCACATAATTCTTCACAAATATAATCTTTTTCCTGTTTTCTTTTTAATTTATATAATGAATAAAAATTATGTGTATTTATTTATTGTGTAGTACATATTTTGAAATATGTATATGTTGTGGAATAGCTAAATAGAGCTGATTAACATCTGCATTACCTCACATTTTTTTTGTGTGTGGTGAGAACACTTAAAATCTACTTTCTTAATAATTTTCAAGAAGGAGTCTTAAAACAATGTAATTCCATTTACAACTACCCCTCCTTGCCATTTATGTTGTCATATATTTTACTTCTACCTGTGTTATATATGACATAAGAAATTGTTTATGCTTTAAATGGTAATTTATCTTTAAAGGAAATGAATACCCATGCATTTCCTAGTTTCAGCGCTCTAGATTTCTTCTTAAAGTTTCAAATTTCTGTCTGGTATTATGTGATTTACTTCAGCTTAAAGGACTATTTAAAAAGCATTTCTTGTTGTGCAGGTCTACTTGTGACCAATTCTCAGCTTCCCTTCATCTAAAAATGCCTTTCTTTCTCCTTGTTTTAAAGAATAACATTACTGAATGTAGAATTCTGAATTGATCAACACCTGTGGGAAAAAAAGAGGAAAAAGAATTTTAAGTTGAAAGTTTTTATTCCCCCTTTCATTGCTTTGAAAATATCCTTCCCTTTTCTTTTGGGCCTCCATTGTTTTTGATAAGTAGTTAGTTCCCCTGTATGTCAAGTTTAGTTTTTTCTCTCTCTGCTTTCAAGATTGTTTAAATTTTTGGATTTTAGCAGTTTGATTGCGATGTGCCTAGATTTAGTTTTTTTAAAAATTTATTATGTGATTATTGCTGAGACAATTTGTAGGTTTTTGTTGTTTTGTTTTATTAAATTTGGGGCGTTTTCAGCTATTATTTCTTCAATTTTTTTTTTCTGTCCTCTTCTTTTTCTTCAGTTAAATAGGACTCATAGCTATTTATTAGTGTTAAGTCATGTCTTCTAATTCAAGCATCAGGGTCATCTTGGCGTCTGTCTCCTTTGACAGCTTTGTTTCTTAGCCATGGGTTACATTTAATGCTGCTTTGCATGTTTGGTAATTTTTAGCAGTATTGTTGAGAGTCTGGGTTTTTGTCTTTTTGAGACTTAAGTTTTGTTCTAGGATGCAATTAATGTGTTCAGAGCTACTCTGAATGCTATCTAGGTTTAGTTTTAGACTTTAATTGGGACACTCTAGAGTAGGCCTTTACTGTTGGGTATGGTCCTTACTTTTGAGAGTTTTTGTGGCTTCCGAGCTGAATGCCTGGGATATTAGTGAGGTTCTTCTATTGACTGAATAGGAACTTTAAAGTTTCTCAGCTCTGTGAAGCTTCTAGTATTTCTATTCTTCATTTAACATTGTAGTAGCTATTTTCTGCTAGGTTTTTCAGACTATTCCCTTGCACACATGTAGCCTAGCCTTCTGCCCTGCTACCACCTTAACCCACCCCACTACAGAACTACTTCATTTTTGATTCTATGTACTACAAATTCCATTCACTTCAACAGCTGCATATTCTGATCTACGATCACTCTGTGTTGCCTGAGGCCTCCTTGTGCTGTGGTTGGGAAATTGCTCCTAGCCAGAGAGCTTGGATGAAGGTGAGACTCACCTTTTGTGTTTTTTCTCAAGGATCACAGTCTGTACTGCCTATTGTTTGATGCCTAAAAACAGATGCTTTATATATTTTGTCCAGCTTTCTACTTATTTACAACAGGAAGAGATGTTCAGTATAGTTACTGTGTCATGGCTGGAAGCAGAGTAAACGGAAGCTTACAGTTGCATCTGCAAATAAGAGTATGGCAAATAAAACAAACTTCATAAATAGATTGAGTGTTAGGAGTAATTGTGGAATCCTAATTAGG